CAAAAACAAAAACAAAACAAAAAGATACCTTAATCAAACAAAGAGCTTTGTATTCCCCGTTTTTGTATACACCAAATGTAATGGAAGACAGAGTCTGTATATCATCTTTGTTCAAATCATAACGCCAGGCAAATGTTGCCCTCTGCCCACGTTGGACAGACAACGTCCCAGCACCCAGAGTAAAGTTTGAAAGCATCTAGAAAAGAAAAAAATATTGGTTAAAATTGTACATGTCGTTATAATTGTTGAGGGTAAATACAAATGGCAATAATTTTTTATCATATTTTATTTTAATTGAAAACGTTACTCGGTAATATGTAAAAAGTAAATGCATAGATAAAATTGTTTTAAGGATAATTAATTAATATGAGTAAATAATTAATTTTGTAATCAAGGTATGTCGAATTTCTTTAACATTGTTCTTGGAGACCACCCACGTACCTTCACATCGAGCTCGGTAAATCCACTAAGTGTTGTGGGTCCAAATTCGACCTAAATTTTAGGATAGAAAACACATGAGCATTGGACTTTACTTTGTGTGCAAGCAGACCTACGACATAGCGCTATCCGGCGGGTAAATCCTTATCCAGTGGATAAGTCGATGCTGTTATCCAATAAATTTATCCACTGGATAAGATTTATCCGTTGGATAGCGCCATCCAGGCCCTGCCTTACTTAATTTAACTTACTCAACTTATTAATTCATATATCTCGTTTACAATCAATAGCATACTCACTAAACCAGCATAAGTACCTCAATTCCGTAGAATTTCTTATCAGTAGATAAAAGTGGCGATAACTCAAAAGCAGCCTTGTTTTGTGACAAGTCACCAACCCACCGCATCCTACCAATGTAGGGCTTTACGTCGGGTTCGTTTTTTGCAACTGTCACATCGACAGACCCATTCTTATGGCTTGCTATCCATATTAAGGTATTTCCCAATGTGCCCCAATCCCTCTTGTATACCCCAAAGTATACTTTACTGATTGAGTGATTTGAGAACTCCCATGTAAAGTTCACTGCTTCTCCCTGAAATCCTACTAATGGGTTGTTAGGCTTAGTTGTGAATTTTGGACTAGCAGTGGCATCTGAAAAAGTTGAAGTGTAAAACATTGCAATAAGTATTCGTGCATACAAACATAATAGTAAGGGCCATTTCTACGTAAATACAAAATTTAATTCGAACTGATACATTTATAGAAACGTGTAGTAAGATGTGTCGATCATGTAAAAAAAAGGGTCACATTTAATTTGTGTCTGGTTTTTCCCCCGTAATGACATTATTGTTTATTTGGTTTATTAGTATATTTGGTAATTCTGAGAATTAACAAGGTGTCAAAAGAAAGAAAAAAAAGAAAAGAAAAGAAAAGAAAGAAAGAAATAAGGAAAGAAA